AACTATCCTGGTATGAAAACAACATTGAATTTGAAGTCAGATAAAACTGGGTTTTGAATCTTGGCTTTACCACTTACTGAGTGACCTTTGGCAAATTTTAAAACCCCACTGAGCCTTAATTTCCTCATCTTTAAAATGGGAATAACACAATTTACCTATAGGGCTATTGTGAAGATTGGCAAATGTACCTAAAGCATCTAGCACTAGGCATTTCATAGGAGTTTAAGCTAATACTGTTAGTGGTAGTGACCTTGTCACCATCATCAAATAAAGCAGCAACACTGTGCATGGCCTCCCTCTCATCAACTCGGATACTAGTAAAATAAACTAAAGCACAGAAAAAAATATATATCTAGAGCAGCCACGCATGAATTAACTGGTTCTTGGTCACAGAAGAATCTCCATCCACAGCCTACTTTCTTCCTACACACAAAGCAAAGCCTACAACAGAGTAGAAGTAGAATTAGTAAAGAGGCTGCTGCAGGCAGCTCACTCACAGTGTAGAGAAGAAATGGAAAGGAGAAAAAAATTATACTAAAAAAAGCCTAGGACCATTTACTGTAGAGGCACATAAATGTAGTTTCACTAACCTGAGAGTATTACTCTAAACTAGAATACTACCATATCTAAGCTTTTTCCATTGTTAGGTTCAGTGTACTTTGTAAAAGAAGGCAGAGAAATTTCCCAAAAATGTTTAAAATGTGAAAAGTTTCAGTGCTTAAAATACATTTCTGGCCAGGTGTGGTTGCTCATGTCTGTAATCCCAGCACTTTGGGGGGCCGAGGCAGGTGGATCACCTGAGGTCAGGAGTTTGAGACCATCCTGGTCAACACAGTGAAACCCTGTGTCTACTAAAAATACAAAAAATTACCTGGGCATGGGACACCTGTAATCCCAGCTACTCAGGAGGCTAAGGCAAGAGAATCACTTGAACCGAGGAGGCAGAGGTTGCAGTGAGCTGAGACTGCGCCACTGTATTCCAGCCTGGGCAATAAGAACCTCAAAAAACAACAACAACAAAAAAATAGATTTCAAAGACAGGCATGGTGGCATGTGTCTGCAGTCCCAGCTACTCAGGAGGCAGAAGTTGAAGCAGGGCTTGAGCCAGGAGTTCAAGACCAGCAGGGCAATACAGCAAGACCTTGACTCTTTAAAAAAAAAAAAAAAAAGGCCGGGCGCGGTGGCTCAAGCCTGTAATCCCAGCACTTTGGGAGGCCGAGGCGAGTGGATCACGAGGTCGGGAGATCGAGACCATCCTGGTCAATATGGTGAAACCCCGTCTCTACTAAAATACAAAAAAAGTTAGCTGGGCATGGTGGCACGTGCCTGTAATCCCAGCTACTCAGGAAGCTGAGGCAGGAGAATTGCCTGAACCCAGGGGGCGGAGGTTGCGGTGAGCCAAGATCGCGCCATTGCACTCCAGCCTGGGTAACAAGAGCGAAACTCCGTCTCAAAAAAAAAAAAAAGACTTCAATTTGTAGAAAAATTTTAATTAGCTGGGCATGGTGGCTCGTGACTGTAATCCCAGCTACTTGGGAGGCTGAGGTAGGAGAATTGCTTGAACTGGGACCTGGGAGGCAGAGGTTGCAGTGAGTCAAGATCATGCCACTGCACTTCAGCCTGGGCTACAGAGCGAGACTCGATCTCAGAAAAAAGAAAAAAAAAAAGAAAAGAAAAAAAAAATTTTTATTTATGTGAAAGCATTTAAAGATCAACAAAATTAGATGAATATATTTACTCTGTAAAGTCATATACAATGGAGGGGAAATCTCTATCTGCTTTATACAGGGAATTATTGGAACAACAAAAATAAAGCAAAATAGTTGTGACTTTTCCACTCCCTTTCTTAGGCAGGGAAAAAACGCTTTCTTTTGTCAAGATCATGTTTTAAGGAAAAAATCATTCTAAAGCTGAAGTGGGAAAACAAAACAAGTCAGATTACATATTATGTCTTCTCCTTATCCCCCTGGTTTTACCTCTCTTTTTGAAAATTCAAGTTTTCTTTATTCTGTTTCCATTCCATAAAACTAGTCATTTACCTACTAGAAAGAACCCAATGTGCAATGAAAGAAATGCACTGCTCATTACCTCCTAAGTGGCTTGAACTTGATTCTTCTAATGAAGTGTTAATGAGCAGTTAATATTCTATTCTGTCTCTGACTTACACTAAAGGGATTCAAAGGCGGCTTGAGAGACCTGTTTTTGATTTTCTCATATCTTGATTTTCTACATCTTGATGTGAAGACCTAACAAGCTCTATATGAATTTTAAGCTCTGGGGCAGTTTAAAAACTGCAAGGTATCCATTCAAAATAGAGGAGTTGGCGGGGGCATGGTGGCTCACACCTGTAATCCCAGCACTTTGGGAGGCCAAGGAGGGCAGATTGCTGGAGCCCAGGAGTTCAAGACCAATCTGGGGAACATAATGAGACCCTGTCTCTACAAAAAAAATAAAAAATAAAAAATAAAAAATGAGCCAAGTGTGGTGGTGCACACCTCTCTTCCCAGCTACTCAGGAGGTTGAGATTTGAGGATCACTTGAGCCCAGGAGGTGGAGGCTGTAGTGAGCCAAGATCACGCTAGCCAAGATTCCAGCATGGGCACCAAAAACAAAGAAAAATTGTCTCTACAAAAAAAAAAAAAAAATTAAAAAATGAGCCAAGTGTGGTGGTGCACACCTCTCTTCCCAGCTACTCAGGAGGTTGAGATTAGAGGATCACTTGAGCCCAGGAGGTGGAGGCTGTAGTGAGCCAAGATCACGCTAGCCAAGATTCCAGCATGGGCACCAAAAACAAAACAAAGCCAGTCCAAAACAAAAACAAAATGCGGGAGTCCAATTAGGCAGTTTTTTTTTGTGGTTTAAAAATTTGTTTTAACTGACTGTGGGATGTCTTCATGTTCTAAGTGGGGTTAACAGCAGCTGCTCCCCTAACATCAATAGAGCACTATGGGGCCAGGCAGTGAGCTATGTGCTTTACCCAAATAATTTCACTTAAATGTCACAATAATCTTATAAAGAACTATTACTATTTCTATGTTAGGGATAAGGAAACCAAGACTTAGAGAACTGAAGAAACTTGCCCAGGTTTTAAGGTCAGTAAATGGAAAAACTGGAATTTGAACTTGGGAGTTGGGTTTAATATGTTACAAACAACCAGTTGTTTTATTTTTAGAGTCCATTTGAATGTCTGTTATATTGCTTATTGAGTAAGACATTGTCTTCTCAGTATACTTAAGAATTTATAAAACATTGAAATAAAAATAGTAACGTACAGTATTTGCTTTTAGAACTTTAATTCTCCTCCCCACAACCACTTCTCTTTTCTTCTCCCTTGAATTCTTAAGTTAGAATTAAAGAACAGAAGAGTAGGAAAAGAGGCAGGCTGAATTACTAATTAGCGTTTTCACCCTCTGAAAAAAACTTGCCGTTGTAACTCTTCTTAGAGCTAATTTATACATGTGAACAATTTGTTTCAGACCCTAAGTACCTTATGAAAGCAAATTTCTAAAAACACTTCTTTTTAAAAGGTGAAAGGGATATTAAGAGATTATCTGTTAAACTCCTGATATTACAGTAGAAGTGCTGAGGATTTCCTCTAGTTAATAATTGGGTCTGTACTCAGAGCCAAAAGAAATTTTTAAATTTATATTAAAAAAAAAAATTGGGACAGGGCTAGAACCTAGGTCCTTCAAAGCCTAACGTGACCTGTAGCTCCCATAAGACTAGTCCTCAATTTGCATCATTATGTAGCCTGTCTCTGGCTAACAAAGTTTGGATCTATACACAGAGAATATTTTTCCTCACTGGATGTGAAGGAAACAGAAAGGACACATATTTGGAGTACAGTCAAGAATGGTCTAATATGAATATATAGTGTAATATGGAACACACACAAGAGATCAGCTTCTACCTTTAATATAGACCATGATTCAAAGCACTTAGCCTTTTGAGAATTTTCCAACTCCTGTAGAAACATTTCATGTTCAAGTCCATTCTCATTCAAACATTTGTCAATTCATAATAAAGGTAACAAACATTCTTAATTGGTTTTATTTCCAGTCTAATATTTCTATACCCATTGCCCAGATAAGTGTATTTAAGGCCAAATATCTATAGAAGTCACTACATTTTGCCTGGGTGTTATCTTTGATATCACCAGTTCTAAGAGTTATAGATCTAAGTTCTAAGAGTTATAGATCTTCTGAATTCAATGTAGTACAGTTACATACTGCAATGATTGTGTAGTTTTATAATTATAAATACACAGGTAGAATACTTTAGAAAGCTTGGACTTCATTTTAAAGTTCTAAACTGGCATGGAAGACTGGAAAGTTATAAAAATGCTTCATCAGGAACTCATGTGGCTGTCTTATGACTACTGAAAGTGCTCTGGACACGCTGGAGCAGGCGTCCCCAAACTACGGCCCACGGGCCGCATGTGGCCCCCTAAGGCCATTTATCCGGCCCCCCGCCGCACTTCAGGAAGGGGCACCTTCTTTCACTGGTGGTCAGTGAGAGGAGCACAGTATGTAGCAGCTCTCCAACGGTCAGAGGGACAGTGAACTGGCTGCCTGTGTAAAAAGTTTGGGGACGCCTGCGCTAGAGAAGGACAAAGACTTTTTTTTTTTTTTAAGGAGTCTCACTCTGTTTTCCAAGCTGGAGTGCAGTGGCATGATCTTGGCTCACTGCAACCTCTGCCTCCCGGGTTCAAGTGATTCTCCTGCCTCAGCCTCCTGAGTAGCTGGGACTACAGGCACATGTCACCATGGTCGGCAATTTTTTTTGTATTTTTAGTAGAGACGGGGTTTCACCATGTTAACTAGGATGGTCTTGATCTTCTGACCCCATGATCTGCCCACCTCAGCTTCCCAAAGTCGTGGGATTATAGGCATGAGCCACTGCGCCTGGCCCAATGAAGACTTTCTAAAGCCATTTCGCCGTATCGAAAGGAAGGGGAAACCTACACAGACAACTTCAGATATTAATTCCACGTGACTTACCTATATCGCTCCTCCTGTAAGGTCTGCATTATTAAGGAATAGTCCCTCTGATAATGTTCCTTGAGAGTCTCAAAGGATTCCTCCAGTCTGGCCTGGGTTTCCCGTATTTCCTGGATCTCATGTAGTAGTGCATCAAATCCTGAGCTTTGCATGTCCAGGGTGTTTGTTTTGGAGCTAGATGCTCCTACAGCGATGCCTCCTGTGGTGCTGTTGGCTCCCACTGAGCCTGAAGTGGCACTAGAACAATCTTCTTCGCTACCATATTTTGGGCTTGACTGAAAGTTTGAAATCACTCCCAAAGTCTTCCCTGCCTCATCCACTTGCCCTTCCTCTAAAGAGTCCTTCAGGTTGGGGATGTTGTCTGCACTGCCAAATTTGTTCCGAATGAGTGAGGCAATCTCTCTGGGCTTTGAGACTACAGCGCCTGCTGCTGAATGGGTGGCCTGGGAGAAGCTGGAAAACCCACCTTTGACACTATCCACCACACCTTCACTGAAGCCAGTCACTTTTGCTCCCACATCCTTCAGACCCTGGTGCATGTCCCTGAAGACATCCTTTGGCTGCCGGGGGATCCCATTCTGCTCCACTTCTCTGAGCTTCCTGTGGTAGTGCTCAAGTTTCTTTTGCAGCTGGAGGATAGTTTGGGCAGATTTCTGGTTCTTCTTCTCAAAGACCTGCTTAATGCGGGCAGCCTGCTGTTTGTCCGCACTGTTGGCAAGCTTCAAGTATTCAGCAACGTTGTCGTCCCGGGCTGTTTGTGCAATCTTGATTTGTTCTGTGAGCTTTAGGATCTTCTGCTGCAGGTGAGCAATGGCAGCCTTTGTGCGCTGAGGGTCTGGTGTTCCATCCACGGAGTCTGTGTGGATGCTGCCATCGGTACTGGAGGCCACTGCACTGGATGTTTGGGCAAGGCTGCTTACTTCCAACCGCTCGATCTATCGTAAAAACAAGAGGTAGATGTTAGAAGAAGCCCAAGAGGACTAGGTCTCCAAAATCAGCGGGCCAAAATGTACTGGAAACGTATCTACTTTCAAATCTCAGTAGTTAACTGACCCGTAATTCCCCCTTGTCCTATGCAAGCCCTGTCTCTCTCTTATATACTGTTCTTATACAAGTATACTTTAAGCAAAACAGATATATGAAAAAAGATCTGCACAAGATATAAGCTGTGGAGTTTTCCTTTGCTAGAGGATTTTTCAGTGTTTCTTCACACAATAAAACTCCCTTAGTGGGCTTCTAGTATGAATTAATTCACTTTCTTTACATTTAATTTCTATTCAGAAGAACATCTACATAAAACAAGTTGCATTTGCATTCCAGTTATATGAAAACCCTTTTGGTGTTCAGACATCACTGTAATTCTAATCCACACTTATAGATTATGGTCACCTAAAAATGCCAACAGAATAGGTATGTTACTGGCTAGATATAAAAATGCAATTTTTCAGAGGTGGGGCACAGTGGCTCATGTCTGTAATTCCAGCCCTTTGGGAGGCTGAGGCGGGCGGATCATAAAGTCAAGAGATCGAGACCACTCTGGCCAACACGGTAAAACCCTGTCTCTCTCTACTAAAAATACAAAAAAAAATTAGCCAGGTGTGGTGGCACACGCCTGTAGTCCCAGCTACTAGGGAGGCTGAGCCACAAGAATCGCTTGAACCCAGAAGGCGGAAGTTGCAGTGAGCCGAGATTGCACCACTGCGCTCCAGCCTGGTGACAGGGCAAGACTCCGTCTCGGAAAAAAAAAAATGCAATTTTTATTACAATGTTTTTTTTTTTTTTTTTTTTTTTTGAGACAGAGTTTCGCTTTTGTTACTCAGGCGGGAGTGCAATGGCGCGATCTCGGCTCACCGCAACCTCCGCCTCCTGGGTTCAGGCAATTCTCCTGCCTCAGCCTCCTGAGTAGCTGGGATTACAGGCATGCGCCACTATGTCCAGCTAATTTTTTTTGTATTTTTAGTAGAGACGGGGTTTCACCATGTTGACCAGGATGGTCTCGATCTCTTGACCTCGTGATCCACCCGCCTCAGCCTCCCAAAGTGCTGGGATTACAGGCTTGAGCCACCGCGCCCGGCTCTATTACAATGTTTTTTATCTAAATCAAGGGTAATGGATAATTCTCTATATTCTAAGGATACTTAATTGGTAGCTAGAGATGGTTGTAGGCAAGATGGGAATGTACTGCTGAAAGTGGCAGAGGTGAATATTACCAAATAAAAGGTGATAATGTTGGGCAGGAAAACTTGAAAACTCAGGGACAGGAACAGTAAGAGCTAAATAAATAAGTCAGGGACAAAGGTCAGGTCTTTTGGAGCCCAAATTTTGTGACTTTTATCCAGTAAAAGGTTTTTGTTAAGCAAGGGACTCCAAAGCACATATACTTTTCCTTTCATGTGGGTGAGAACCATTCAAAGGAGTTGAAGAAAAAGACAAGACAGTCAGATTTAAAAGCATAAATGTTCACTCTTCAACACACGTAGCTAAATCTGGGGAGGTCAAGTTTCCCAAATTCAGGAGAAAAAAATCCTTTAGGAGGTCATCCATGGGTGTGGCTTGTGGTAGTGAATTTGAGTAGGGACGAAAGAAGGCGGCTCCAGAAAAAACTCTTCTTGGCCAGGCACAGTGGCTCACATCTATAATCCCAGCGCTTGAAGAGGCCAAAGGAGAAGGATCACTTGAGGCCAAGAGTTCAAGACCACCCCAGGCAACACAGTGGGACCCCCACTTTCTACACTTTTTTTTTTTTTTCTTAAATTAGACAGGTATGGTGGCACCTGCCTGTAGTCCTAGCTACTAGGGAAGTGAGGTGGGAGGATCACTTGAGCCCAGTAGTTCCAGGCTGCAGTGAGCTATGACTGCACCACTGTACTCCAGCCTGAGTGACACAGTGAGACCCTGTCTCTAAAAAGGGAAAAAAAAAAAAAAAAAAACTGCAACAGAGTAATGAATATTGAGTAATAAAATAATCTTCTTAGGGTAATAAAAATCCCCAGTATAAGTGCCAAATTACCATCCTGTAGACTAAGATCATACCCTTTTCTTGGTTCCCATCTTAATCTGTACCAGGTAGCAGAAAGAACCATAAACAAAGTTATCTCCTTCCTCATATTTTCATGACAATAATGCACCAACTTTGTTTTGATATTTATCATTCAAATATATTTCAATATTTATGAAATGCCAATAATTGACCTAGAGATAACATCTTCTATCTTTTCTTCATCTGGGATGTATTACCTCAGTTTGCCACGTGAGCAGGAGCTATGCTGATGTCTGAGCCATAAAACACATTTAGTTCATTACTGAATTCAATATATTACCATTGATGTGAATAAAAACAATACTTTCTTTCTAGATGAACAAATGAGAAATACTGTGCATTTAAATAAAATCAAAAGAGAACTTAATACTGAAATTAATGACAAAATAACATTACGCTCCACTAGTTAATAAAAGAGAATATCCGGAATAGTTAGAGACCAGCACAATAACTGTTTTGTGTCACTTCTTCTTTCTGCCCAATTCATCTTTTGGTACATGCTAACAAGCAGTAAAATGGCCAGAGACTGCAGAAGGGAGGAACAGCCAGAGTTCCAGATAACCCAGGTCCCAAGAGTTGCAACAAGAGATCCTGGAAATCCACTTTATTTAGTGCCCAATGTCTTCTAGGTTGTACAAGGTTCTAATTGTTGCATTTTCTTTCTGAATGAGATTTCAGATCCTTAACCTTGATGAGTATTTATGTTTAACAATTAAGCTCAAAATCTACCACAATATAAAGGAAAGCAAATATAAGAATGTCACTAGATCCAAGACTCTAAAAGCTTCTGCATGCTCTAGTTCTCTCTCTCTTAGGTTCTCTGATACTAATATGAATATTAACTTACATGCAATCTGTTGACTAAAGAAGTATAGCTATGGCCAGGCACAGTGGCTCGTGCCTGTAATCTCAGCACTTTGGGAGGCCAAGGTGGGAAGATTGCTTGAGCCCAGGAGTTTGAGACCAGCCTGGGCAAAATGGCGAAACCCCATCTCTACAAAAAAATTTAAAAATTAGCTGGGCATGGTGGCATGTTTCTGAAGTCCCAGCTGCTCAGGAGGCTGAGGTGAGAGGATAGCTTGAACCTGGGAGGCAGAGGTTGCAATGAGCTATTAGCCATGATCCTATTTGATTATATCTCTAAAATGATAAAAAGAAACCTTGGGCCGGGCGCAGTGGCTCAACCCTGTAATCCCAGCACTTTGGGAGGCCGAGGCGGGTGGATCACAAGGTCAAGAGATCGAGACCATCCTGGTCAACATGGTGAAACCCCGTCTCTACTAAAAATACAAAAAATTAGCTGGGCGTGGTGTCCCGTGCCTATAATCCCAGCTACTCAGGAGGCTGAGGCAGGAGAATTGCCTGAACCCAGGAGGCGGAGGTTGCGGTGAGCCGAGATTGTGCCATTGCACTCCAGCCTGGGTAACAAGAGCGAAACTCCATCTCAAAAAAAAAAGAAACCTTTACACTAAATTTTCAACATATAGTCACATGTTGCATAATGACATTTCGGTCAATGATGGACTGCATATACAACAGTGGTTCCGTAAGACTATAATACTAGATTTTTACTGTATCTTTTCTTTGTTTAGCTATGTTTAGATACACAAACCCCACCGTGGTACACTGCCTACAGTATTCAGTACAGTAACCTGCTGTATAGGTTTGTAGCCTAGAAGCAATAGGCTATACCTGGGTGTGGAGTAGGCTGGGTGTGGAGTAGGCTATACCATCTAGGTTTGTGTAAGCACATTCAGTGATGTTTGCACATTAATAAAACTCTCTAACTGCATTCCTCAGAACATATCCCCATATTTACAAGTGATCACATTTTTGTGATGTTATTTTCTTACATATTAACTTAAGAAATAAACTAAGCTGTCTTTAATCTGACTTCTGACCTACCTGGGCTGTTTGGAGCCACAGTGTGTCTGGCTCCTACTCAGAATCATCAACATGCCTGCAAGAGTACAGCTGATAGAACCCAAGGTCTTCAGCCTCTAAAGAAAACTAACCCACAACTTTAGCAGTAAGGTAGTTTAACACGTGAAACCATCAATCAATGGTTACTAAACCCCTCCCAATTCTTGCAGAAACAACTTTTTTTAAAGGAGAAATAAGGGGAGGGGAAGAGGCAAGGAAGATGTAGAGAGGGGAGGAGAGAGGAAAAGACCAAAGGAGAGGACGAAGAGTCGGGTGGCAGAGAAGGAGAGTAAAGGAGGAAAGAAAGAGAAAGCTACATTGGACTACAGAATCACAAGACAAGGGAGGAGAACAGTCTTGATATATCCTGAGTTAGGAACAAAGTCCTTTGAAGTCCATGCTCTAGGCATAAATACTTAGCATTTAGTTATGAGTTACGAAGGCATCAACCGAAAAGTGATTCCCTTTTCAACAGCCTTTGCTGGCATATTAGGCTGTCTATATATAACAACATAAAATTAGATTATCTTTTATTTGAGACAGAATTTCATTCTTGTTGCCCAGGCTGGAGTAGAATGGTGTAATCTTGGCTTACTGCAACCTCCGCCTCCAGGGTTCAAGGGATTCTCCTGCCTCAGCCTCCTGAGTGGCTGGGATTATAAGCACCTGCCATCATGCCCAGCTAGTTTTCTTGTATTTTTAGTAGAGATGGGGTTTCACCATGTTTGCCAGGCTGGTCTCTAACTCCTGACCCCAGTTGATCCACTGGCCTTAGCCTCCCAAAGTGCTGGGATTATAGGTGTGAGCCACTGGGCCTGGACATAAAATTAGATTTCTAATTCATTCCAGATAGACAATTAAATCTCAAATGAAAAAGGCAAAATTTAAAAACCTTTCAAAGGCAGCATTGGAAAATAAGGAAGGTTTTTCTTTTTCTTTTTTTTTTTTTGAGACAGAGTTTCGCTCTTGTTA